AGAGAATTACTATGGTTCGTCCGTTGGTGCCACCAATGGTGAAGGTATTGAAAATCTGTTCTTGAGCCAAATTCTAATAATCTCATTCGTATGTCGTATCATACGACATAACGTTTTGGCTATGGAGTATCTTACGACGTTGGGAGTCGAGGGGTTAATAATGAAACCAGACATGTAGTGGTTTAATCCTAGGCCAACAAAAACCTTCATAAACAGATCATCATTTGGGTAAGATTCGTAAGATTTCTCGAGGACGAAAACGATTGACCAATGTTTTTAATGGTGAAGGCAAGAGTAGAGAAGAGATAATAGAAGAAGTAGATGAACACTAGACCTTGAGTCTGTAGGAGTAGAGATGAATATAATGGGGATATAGGCGTGAGGAGGAGAAGAAGAGAATCAGGTAAAAGGATAAAAGAGACGAAGACGATAAACAGAAAAGTAGAGAAAGGGGGAAGGAGATGAACGATATGAAGTCGCGATGTAGAGATATACAGATGTAGAGAAGGATACGATAAAAACCAAAATGGGAAGACAAGCAAAAGGAAAAAGAGAAAAGAGAAGGAGAAACTAATAGGCAACAGAATACTAGTACAGGGACGACGAAGCACTGTTACAACAACTAGCGAGTCACCTACTGGAATCGTATTACTGTTTATCGGTTTGCATTTATACGAATGTACAAACTGCCGGCCCTGTAATATTCTGTCTAGGACTATCAACGTCTAAAATTCCTTGTGTGATTCATCGTCTCTCTTAGTAGTCGGGCCGTCAACACGCATCCTGTTAGTATATAGTAGAACAGCTCAAAGCGCCGGCGTGGTAGTGAGGTAACGCTCATGTCGAGGGTGGACCCAGAAGAACCTGACGGATGAACATCCAGCACACGAATACACCACAGCTGAACGCGTCAAATTGAATGAGGCTGTTTTGCGGTACCATGACGTATTCTGGCAATACGCGGTTTTTTATGTTGCTCGCGATAGTTTAGACGGCGTTCAGGTACACGGTTTGGTTTAGCGGGTCGTAGAAAAATATTTTTCTCGTGCTAACATCGACAACAATGCAACACCAGTGCATTGTGAAAGTTCAGTGGTAAGAACACAGTGGCAACACCGTCATGATCCACAGCCTGTCGGATGCTTGTAAGAACACTGTCATTTACAGCAATTTTTGGTGCTGTCCGGGTGCGAGATGTTTGAATAGTTGCATTCTGGAAGCCGGCAAACCTACACGTTGGGAATTCATTTACTAGACGCTCGCACACTGCCCGAATCGTCGCATCACTTAGCTACGATGGTGGCAATGCTCGATACAGCATGGCAAAATTGTAGTCGGTATGATTTCCAAGACCTTGAATACTCTTAAAGGGATACGTTGTCAACACTTGATTTGCCACTGTTGCCGCTGCTTCATGGTATTGTGCAGGAAGTGCTGGTAGTCCATCCTCGAGCAGCCATTTTTGCATCTCTAAGCCAAGTTGGACAGTTTGTGTAACGGCGTTACACGTGAGGTTAGCCTTCTGGTGTGTTGTGCACAGAAGGTTACCTCTGTAGAGGTGAGGGCCCTCGGGGCCACACATTGCTAGAAGTAGTGTTAACTATAGCATAATGAGGTGCACGTGATTGCACCGTAAGGGGCTTGGCCGTAAGAATACAGTTTGTCTTTTGCAAGGAATTGCAAGTGTTACTCCTTTGGACTGTGTGTTGGGTACTCGGTATAGAAGCCCGCTGCGACTCTCTGAGTCGAACGTCTTCCTCTGACGCAAAGAGCTCCGGCAGCCCCGCTGCACTTGGTAGCACTTGTAGTCAATCCCTCACCTGAGTCTGAAAAGACTATTCCTCTGTGAGGATGGAGCAAGCAGTGTTTGCAAACTTGGCCCCAGGCCAGCAGGACGCGCTGAAAAAGCTGATGTCCCTGTTGGGCCCGGAGGGGGTGCTTCGCAAGGCCTAGACGCTATCAACACACGTCTCGAGGCTTTCTCAAGTTACGAACTCTGTTGGACCATATCCAACAGAGAGTGAACGTGGCGACGCCACATGCGTCAGCAGCCACGCTGCAAGGGGAGTCGTCTCGACCAAAACCACTCATGGTGAGTGTCAAGTCCTTCGAAGGGAAGGAAGGTGAGAACCTCATGCTGTGGATACGCGAGGTTGAAATGGCCATGAGTTCGGCCTTGCTCCAAACTGAGCAGCAGCGCGTGGCGCTTGCGATCTCTAAGCTCAGTGGGCGAGCGCGGGAATGGGCTCTCACGAGCGGGTCGACGGTGCTTTCCCGACGTGGGACGCGCTTAAGAAAAAGCTGTCGGTGGTGTTCCTACCGCCGAACCACGTTTA